ATAAAAGAAAAGTCAGCAGTTCAGTAGCGTGGGACCAAATATTTTCACATCGGAGGAACGTTTCTCGCCATTTATGCAAATGGCTCTCGCAGACGTCGGGGGCGAAAATCACTTACAGCTCCAATAAACCGGGCGACACCGTGTACTGCCGGCCGACTCTTCTCTCTTACAGATAAGACATAAAATTATATAGTGATACGGGAATTTCGATATCGATTGTTAATTAATTAACAAGTAGCAGTAGAGCTCCTTGTGAAAGAGTTCGTCCAGGGAAGTATTGCCACCTTATCTATTTATGCAGCCAAACGGTAATATTAGTATTACAACGTTCCGGTTTTGACGGGTAAGGGTGCTGGTTAAATTACAGGTACATAGGACTTGTCAACTTATGTCTCAGTGTGGCGGGCGCAGTGGCAGTGCCCCTCAGATCTTTACGATTTAAAGCTCTGAATGGCACTGCAATTATTATGGACAGGCGTGTAGCTTACCATAAGACGCACGTTTTGTTCGTCCAGTCACTTGATATTACAAAAAAAAAACGTGTAGACATTTAGAAAGACTGAAGCAATAGGGAATCTGAAAACTTTTCAAAAAGTATTAAAGGTCATCATAATGGATATACACAGTCAAGAAAAACATTATTTTATTTAAATATAACTTTTGAAGTCCCTCAAACTATGTATGTTTAAATGTAATTAAAAAGAAATTGCCACACGAACCGTTCTACTACAGTTGTCAACACGATCGCGTGATGTCATTTGTAGGTAAATAAACTAGACAATGTGCACTTGTCACTTGCAAAAACTTTAGGTACTGATTCTCGTCAATCCGAAATTGTTTGGAGTTTTTTTGTTAAAAGTGATTACAAGATTACAAGCGAACAGTGAGTACGGTAACGTTTCTTTGCTTACAATTTTTTTGTGTGAGGGTTGTAAGCAACACGCCTGTCCTCTGTTGCAATGCCACTCTAAGCTTTAAACCACACCCTTTGGACATAAGTTGACAAGTCCCATGTGCCTGTACTTTCACCAGCACCCTCACCCTTCGAAAATGGAATTAGGTAAACCACCAGAACCAAACTAGAGATCCTTGTGGACGAACTCTTTCATAAGGTGTTCCACTGCTACTAAATATGTATATGGCGTTACGTAATGCGTTTGGTGTTTTCTAGAAGATTAAAAAAATACATAAATGTTATTGATTTTAAAATACAAATCCTTGTTATATCACAAACATATTCATTGAACGATCGTATAAAAAAACGATATTTCATACTTGAAAAGTTGATACTCTGAACCAAATATAACAACAATACTTTATAAGAACACATAGTGAACATTCTTCTGTTTTATGTAGTTAATTTTTTATGGTCAAATTATACAGTGAACAGATTGCTGGCGGTCATTGTAGCATCAGCAGGAACCATTATTTGAATAGCCAGTTACTTAAAACAACCGCAACAAATAGTGTTCAAAAGAATATTTTAGATGTAATATGTCTACATACATATAAATACTTGACAAAGGCTTGTTTAGATCTCATTACATTCCCCCAATTCACAAAACGATAAGACTGGGATTAGATAGTAGGTATAATCTTAATCTCACGCACCCTTCTTATTGCCACGCGAGACGCGTTCAGTTCAAACATTTAGTTTTAAGATATTTATGCAAACGAACTTCGTAATCACTTGAGATTTCCAAGAAAATCACTCGTATTGTGCAAAACTTTGTTCGCTAATCGTGTAAATGGCCTGAGTACCAAATTATGTCAAGATATGGTAAATCAATGGAACAGTTAATTTAGTATCGAATTTTTAGATTATCGCGATTGTTACACTTAAGAAATGAAGCTACTTTTTTATTTAGCAGCAGTATGAGTAGGAATAGGGTTCCTTGTGAAAACGTTTGTCCAGGGAAGTACTGCTGCCAAGCAGTAATGTGACCATTACTAGGGTCCGGTTTTGAAAGGTAAGGGTGCTGATGATATTACAGGTAACTTTTCAACTTATGTCACTGTGAATTCTATGGCAGGCGTATCACTTACCACCAGATGCACGACTTGTTTGTCTTGTCACTTGGTATTATAAAAAAATGTCAATCGCGTATATTTACTTTTTCAAACAAACCAACGTTTTGGTCAACTTTAAAGATCACGGCTGACTCAAAAAACACACGAGACATTGTTTTTATAAAACCAAGTGACAGAATGAACAAATCGTGCGCCTGGTATTAAGCGACACGCCTATCTATAACAGTTACAGTGCCACTCAGATCTTTAAATGGCAAATATATAAGGGACATGAGTTAACAAGTTCCATGTGCCTGTAATTTCACTAACACACGTTTCAAATGCGAGACGTAGTAATGCTCACATTACTGCTGGTATAAATAAATGAGAACGTAAATACGTTCACAATGTACTATTAGTTTCGTCTTGAAATTTGGTATTGAAATAAATTAAGCTAGACATATAAAGGTCAATAATAATTAGGAATTTTTTTTAAATGTAGATAGTCATTATTTAGTCATAATATGGCTTCAAATAGTTGGGGTATTTTCTTTTTTTATCAATTTTATTATTAATAACATATTATAATGAGTTAACTTATTCGCTTCTTCATCTAAGAGTTGTTACACGGTCGCTTGTGTTGAATAATTATGTGCGGAAAATCTGTATAGGTTTATGCACCCTTTGTTAATTGTTAATTTAGAAGTTATATAAATAAATAATTTAAATAAACAAATTAGTTAATTAATTTAAAATGTTCATCGTGTTTGCACTGCGTTTGTATAGCGTTTGCATCGCGTTTGTATCGCGTTTAAATCGCGTTTACAGCACTGTTTGGCGATTAGCGACTGCATTCATCACCTTTGTATCGCTGCTAAAGTCGGCATGTGTAACTGCTCTGAGTGGTGTAGCTTCGACCATCGAATAACAAAAGAACAATAAATTAATTAAACAATGCAGCAAAATTAATGCAACATTTTGATTTTACATGAAAACTGGATAATTTGTCGGACACCGCTTATTATAGATGCTTTTGCACAATGCAACAAAATTATTTTAATACCGGTCGAACCTCGGTCACACTGAAAGTTGTTACAAATAAATATACAAGTGTGTTTAAATAAACAAACGAGTGAACCTAGTAAATACGCGCACGCACGGTAATTACCTTTTTAACCGACTTCAAAAAAGAAGGAAGTTCTCAATTCGTCTGAATGCTTTTTTTGTATGTTTTTTACGTGATTGTGAGCGGTATTTGTGAACTGATTTGTATGATTCTTTTTTTGTTGGAAAAATGGTACCTCATTAGTGACCTTATTTAAATTTCAAGAAAATATTCCACCTCTAACTGGCAAACTAGGGGATGAATCCGTTTTCACGCACTTTCCACTAACCGATTTCAATAAAACTGGGCAAGTAGATTTAATTCCACGAACTTTTGAGATCGGTTTTTAGTACTTTGTTAAGTAGTTAGTCCTCCACTATGGCCCATGCGTCTCGGGGACTTTACACATCTTCTACTTGCAGGTTTCATCACAATGTTTTTACTATTCAAGAAAGTGATAATAAGTAAACTAAAACGCACGTTAATCGGAAAGACTCAGTGATGTAAACCCAATCGGAAATCAAACCGGTCTTCCTACATGCTCCGAGCCACCTAACATTTTCAGTATTAATTATCCTAAGTTATTTTTATAACAAAGTGAGTGGGCCCAGGTGGTAAGCAACACGCCTGTCCTTAACAGTTGCAGTGCCACTCAGAGTTTTAAATCGCAAAGATTTGAGAAGCACTGCTACTGCGCCGGTCACTGAGACAAGTCGAATGTTTAAATTTTTATTGAATTGATATTCAATTATTTTTATGTGAAATCACTTCACTAGTTATAATTATTAACACAAAGATCGAACACTCATAAAAAATTCCTTCGATCCGGCCGGATTCGAACCGACGTCTTCTAGCATACCGTGCCAGACGCTATACCAACTAAGCCACGAAACGAACCAGCGGACCTCACGATTTTTTCTATGTGCTTGCGTTGTATCTTTGTATTTAGTTTTTCAACGACTTTTTAGCCGTAGCGACATCTATGACAAATCTATGATATTTCGTCACCAAGTTAGATACATTTACAGCTACAAGTCCAATGTTCCTGTATCTTCACCCTTACCCTTCCTAACCTATACGCAGTAATACTCACATTACCACTTCGCGGCAGAAATAGATAAGGTGTCAGTACTTCCCTGGACGAACTCTTTCACAAGGAGCTCTACTACTATATAAGTAATATATAAGTAATGTTTAATTGTTTAATTATTAATACAAAGATCGAACACAACAAAAAATTCCTTCCGACAGGACTCGAACCTGTATCTGCGTCAAATCAGGGTCAATGCTCCATCAACTGAGGTACAGATCGAGTCATCAGACGTTACAAATTTCTCTGTGTGTGTTACAGTTCTTTTGTAGTCGGTTTTTTCGGTTTTTATCGCCGTAACCTCGTCACCTACAAGAGATCTTTGAAGCTTCTCATTCAGTCGATACCTTTACAGCTACCAGTCTGACGAAAGATGTCTGTATTAATAGGAATATTGATTTTTATTGAATATCACGATCACTTTGCGTTCGATCTTTGTATTAATAATTAAAACGAAGTAGTGAAATAATTTCACAAAAAATAATAAATAAAATATCATCACGATATTCAATATAAATCAATGTTTGATTAATCAAAACCTATTATGCAATTTTGATACTTGTATACTAAACGTCATTTCCATACGTACGTGTTCAAAATATGAATATGTAAAACTAGGGAAAACTTTTCCTTCGGTGAAAACAATATTTTTGGATAAAAAAGAAAAATGCAAAGTGGTTCGAATTATTTGTCTGCAAGTGCATCATTGATTTTCATTAAAGATCATTAACCCTTTGTTTTCTTCATAATAAATTATTTTTTTACTTCAATATCGTTTATTTCTTTTTGTTGCAGCTCTAGGCTTGGAGCCAGATTTCCTGTACCCGCTGGAAAACGTTACCATCGCACAGGGTCGGGACGCAACCTTTACGTGTGTCGTGAACAATCTTGGCGGTTACAGGGTGAGTGGCGACTCCGCCACTGCCAGGGTGTGTATCAAACCGACTCGTTACAGCTACTTCTAGAGGAGCACAAAGCACTTACGCATTGTGGGATCTATAATTTTTAATTCTTTTTCGTAAAAGATTTAATTAACCGACTTGAAAAAAAGAGCAGGTTCTTAATTCGATTGTATTTTTTTAGGTATGTTACGTGATAACTCATTTGTGAACCGATTTTGATGAGTCGTTATTTGTTGGAAAGAGGGTACCTCCGTATTGGTCTCATTTAAATTTGAAGAAAATATTCCATCTCTAAAGATGGTAAACTAGGGGATGAATCCGGTTTCGTGCACTTACCAGTTTTAACCGATTTCAATAAAACTTGGCAAATAGATGTAATTCCACGCATTTTGGCTTTTTTTTATAAAATAGATATACTATATATTACTAGCTGGTGCCCGCGACTTCGGGTGGGTACAATAAGTACTTAGAGTAGCCTACTGTACTACTTTCTTGAGAAAATATTGGTTCTCCGTACAAACTTTCATCCCCTATTTCACTCCATTTAAGAATCATTTTTGAGCCAAAAATAGCCTAATGTCCTTCTCCCGGGTCCCATCTATCTATATATAAATTTCTACATAAATTAAATTTGGTTCAGCAGTTTATGCGTGAAAATGTAACAAATAGAGTTACTTTATCGTTTATAATATTAGTTTGGTATAATGAGATATTTTACTAACGGTGTTTTTAAGAACGATGGCAAGTTTTCCCATACATTTGAGCTTTGAAACTCGGTTTTATGCCTATTTGATAAGACTGGTCAAAATTGTAATTACGAAACCCAGCGTGACGCTGATAGGATTTTTCTTTGTTATCAAAATCGACGAAGCTTTAAAAAATTACAACACATGTCTTCCGTTATTTTCATAAACGATATTTTAATTGCCTCTCGTGCAATGCACGCTCAAAGTTTTTTTACAATGCACATACTCTAGTGTGAGGTATGTATAAATGTAACAGAGTTAATTTCAGATAAAGTAGACTGAAAAATGATGTGTGCAGTTACGTAGAAAACTCTTCTCGAGTATTCTTCTGTTATATAAAAGAGAGACGAGTCGCAAGTTCCCTATCACGGTGTGATATTCGTTTTTTGTTCCGTTGTACAAAAGTTTATAGAATGAACTAGAAATAGAATACAACAAGAGTATGTTAAGCATACACTGTGCAATTAACGCTCGGATCCTTCTCCCTTAAATTTAAATAGACCTACTTTTTCATAGAACTAAATAGTTAGCCTTTGTATATAGACCCACTACTGTGCATAAGCCTCCTCTCATAAAGGGTGGGCTTGGGATATAATTCCCACGCGGACCTTCACATATATAATTAAATTGCATTGCTGATTGGTGTGTGCAGGTTTCTCACAATGTTTTCCTTGAAAAGATGCACATAAATTCCGAAAATTCCGATTCGAACTTCGCTCTCTGCCGGTGGTAGGTAAAATCATCAGGCTACCACCGATTTAGACAAAATTATGGATCCCACAAAATAGCACAATGCACCAACACTTTTGCACACTTCCGTAGCACACACTTTCCAAGGCACTATCTTCAGCACTCTTTCAAACAAAACAGCACAATTGTAGTATAACAACTATCTATCTCTATCTTAGTATAGAGCAACACAACTATTTGCACCACTGTTACTCACGAGTAGCTGTAGACTTAGAATACAGCACCACTTGCACTAGACACTTTAACATAGTCAAGGCTCAAGAATGCGGCACAAAAACAATGATTTACATGGGCGCGGAAACGCTCCGTTCTTGGGTTTTACGAACTGCACTGTTCTCATTGTTTCAATTACTGTCAACCTTTATTTTCGGAGCATGCGAATCCAAAATGCACTACACTGATTTCTGTATGTTTCTAAAGCACACTTTAGTTTGAAATCCTTCCTATTTTTTAAAATGAAAACTCTTTAGTAGCTTTACATTTTAAATTCATATTGGCGCCCCTAGCCGATCAATCGTCAACACAAAAACCTCGGCCTCTCTATGATCGGTCTATTTCATTGAGCTAAGAAATTTACATTGCAAAACAGTCACTTTAGGAAATTAAAATACGGCTGGGACAAACCCCCTTGGTCCCTGTTCAATCATTTCGAAAGGCGGTGGTCTTAAAGCTTCCCAGGGGTTATCTTGTGAGACAAGATTTAGCATTCGATATCATATCGATACAGTAAGTTTCCCTAAGCTGGATATCACTCGTACCTACACCATATATCAACCTGTGACCTTTTTAATGTTACATAAATTTCTTTTACATCATTCTATTATTTCATAATCGGAGCGCTAACTCTAATTTAATTTGTCACCGAATATAAATGTCCGGTGGATAAATCAAATACATACACAAAACTAAGCCAGTTATATATTCAATTACTTGTTTACTACCCAAATAACTGTTTCGTGACTTCACCTAAATGTGGTTTCTCGAATAGTCCAACTGACCAATCGATTAACTCGATATGTAGGTATTGAACTCGATTTACACCGTATTTACCACGTTAGCCTCGTAAGTAATTACACAACACTAATTACATCTTCGCCTCGCCAAATCCCTCGTGCATTAGATCAAATTGATGTTATGTCAAAACAAATCAAATGTTAGATCATTACATAGAAAACACACTCAAAATAAAGACACTTAATTTCGATATGCACCGCTGGTATGGACGAGTTGTTGATATGGTAACTATGACTTTTACTTTTGTTAGCACTGTGCTGTTTCATCCTTTAAACACTAAATGTCTTTAGTGTTTTCTTTGATTTGAAAATATTTAGTGTCTGGCAAAGAACAGCTCGTATAGAAGTACAATCCATTTTCCTTTTCGATTTCAGCGGTGAAAAGGCTTTGTTGAACCTAATCAAGGATGAAATTGCACCATTATTTATTTTTCTTTTGGTTTCACAACCCCTCCTCTGCTGATTAAAAATAATTTACCCAGATTTTAAAGACAATCAAGTAAATAATGAATTATGCATTGAAGAGATTGTGAATACAACTTTTTCTATTAAATAGCGAAAGTATTTTTTATTTGTTTCAACGCACTTCTTTTATTTTTGTTTAAACCACCATAGCGATGTTTTTTGCTATAGGCACTTTTAGCACTTTGATGAGATTAGTAAAATTTAATGCACCAGCACTATATCCGATAATAAAAGTCTGTAGTGGTTTGTCACTAAATCTGAACGTAGCACTCTTCTTCCTAGCTATTCTTCTTACACCCTATCTCACCGCACATAAAATTTTTAAAGTATCTGTCTAGGATGAATTTTTGTAAAACGTAACCAATTCCCAAAGCAATAGCGAGCGATGGAAGGTCGGGAAATTCCCAGACTCCCTAAAAGCAGCTGGTCTAAAAATATTGTCCAACTTGAAATGTTCAATATACTGAACTTCTATATTCTATTTATGTACTGCAAATAAGAGCTTATTACTTTTGAACGTTGAAAGCCGTGGACGGTGGAAAAGTATCCGAAACGCCATATTTCTGCGGACGTTTGTTCGTTTTTTGTTACGCGCTATGCAGGAAATTAGCTTCTATTGCGATGTCGACGCTTTTGGTAAAGCGGGTGAAACGAGGGCGTTTTCAGAGCGCGCCCGCAGCGCCGCTGCCGCAGCCCGCGCGGCCCGCCGCCTCATAGCGGCGACCAAACGAAAATGTAATTAAAAATTCCGAGAGCATTTTGCGAAGCGCTCGCAACAAGATAGTGTTGCTGGCTCGACGGTCGTTGTCGTGACTGCCTCTTGGGAGGTATTCACTTGTAATTAGAGTTGTTCTCTAAAAGTCTCCATTGCATATTTTTAACGGTAAAGTCGGACGATAATCGTTATGCAGAAATGTTGTGTTTCGCATTCGTTTTTGTTGGAAATATTCTTTTGTACTAATACATTTTTCTGGGTTCGTTCTCTTTGGGGTATGTTGGGATCGGTGTGGATAGGTGGCGTGGATTAAGGCGGACACCAAGGCAATCCTGGCAATCCACGAGCACGTGATCACGAACAACGCACGGCTGACCGTCACACATAACGACTATAACACTTGGACTCTCAACATTAGAGGTGTGAAGAGAGAAGATCGGGGGCAATATATGTGCCAAGTTAACACTGATCCTATGAAGATGCAAGTAAGTTGAGCCATAAAAATATTATTTGTAAACAATTCAACATAGCATGGAGAGAAAAAGTGTCCATACTCACTATTGATATCAATTAAAAGAATTGATAAGATTGCGGGCTCCGAACTAGCTGAAACATTTTCTAGACTTGTCTATCAAATTATTTAGATAAAATTAAAAAGTCAACAGATAAAACTTGAAATGTAATTTTTGTGTACTGCACATAATGTAAATTAAGTCCGGCGTTGTAGATAATAAAGGAAAGATTACTTGGACTTAGAGCTATCAAAATTTTAGCCTTGTTTTATATCGGTCAGCCGTTCGTAAACGGAACAATAAAACGGGAAACTTTGATTTGACGAGACCTTTTGTTCTACAGACAGCGTTCCTTGAAGTTGTTATCCCCCCGGATATCATCTACGAAGAAACTTCAGGAGATATGATGGTACCGGAGGGGGGTTCAGCTAAGCTGGTTTGCAAAGCCAGGGGGTACCCTCCGCCAAAGATTGTTTGGCGCCGAGAAGACGGAGGTGACATCATATCTAGAGGTGGACCACAGGGCAAGACAAAGGGTAAGCAGTAACTGAGCCTTTATATTTGATTCTTAGAATACTAATGACTCAAGTGAATACAGTTTTAATATGGTTATGTAGTGCGAAAAAGCTTTTTGACTCAAGCAGCCATTAGTGCTTCAAACGTCCGATCGCAACAGTTACAAATAGTGCAATGACTGAAGAACTATAAGAAAAGGTTATCCAATAAATCACAGCTTAAAATATTCACTATTGAATCTTAGCAGTAAATCACACCGCAGCACCTCGGGAACTCCTATTACCATTCACACCGCCCCTTCTAATCCCGCGGGATTACGGCCTCCAGACGGTCCGGGAATAATTACTTACCTACTCATCTCTGCACTCAACTAAATAAAGAGCTGGATAAAGGGTTATAATGAGAATCCCCAAATTAAACAATGTATAAGTTATGATCCGATTGTTGTTACTGTTGTTATTAAAGGATTAAAGATTCACTGCGTTACAGATGCCTAGGCTAATATATTGTCACTATGGGTATGGGTGGAGATTACTTCGGATGTTAATATTCTAAGGCCAAATTTTACTTTGCATTTCTTACAAAAGTTAAAATTACATATTTTTCTTCGTTTCATAATGTGGTTAATTGAATACAATGTTCTTGTATGAAATATGACGATTGAACAAAAGTCCGTTTCGCGGATAATATTGTATTTTCTTCTTCATCTGCCTAAGAGCTACAAAGGATGCTCTAGAAGATCCGAGCTTTGCAAGCCTTAAAAATGAAAATGATCAAGACCATAGTCATGATTAACACAACCAATAACAAAACCGAGTTAATAGGGAGAATATGCAGTACGGCAGCGAGTACCTTTACTTGTGCCAGATAGTCTCCTTCCAGTGCAGCAAGAAGTTGCTTAGACGCAGTGATAATGCCTGGAGGAGCTATTGGTGCATGAGAGATCTTATGAGAGGTACCCTCCCTATATCTCTCAAAAAGAAGTTGATGGACATATGTTCCCATACTAACTTATGGCGCGCAGACTTGGGTGTCTTACGAAGATTCAAAAGTCCAAACTCGGGGTCTGCTAACGAGCGATGAATCGCCGCATACTTGGTATAAAACGGACCAACCGAACACGACACTACGTCTTAAACTCAGATTGCTGATGTAGGCCAAAAAACTGCAAAGCTGAAATGGAGTTGGGCTGCTCATGTCTATCACATGGCTGAAGACTTGTCCGCCACCAGTGGAGCCTAAAAGCGTAAGACGCCGCGATGGACCGAGGAAGCGATGGCGTGACGAACTAAAGCTTGTGTTTAGTTAGCTCAGAATCGGGATGCGACGATGCGGACGATACTGCACAACACACCCTAGAGGTGTGCAATCGCTGGAGTGAGCAACGCCGCACTCTGGCAGCGACTATAGGGGGAAATCTCTCGCTGCCTAGCGTGGTATCTTCTCGTGGTATTCTCGTGGGTTTTTAGTGGGTATCGAGCCTCCCCGGGCTCGAGGGTATGCATAAAGCATTTCCCCCCGATAAAAAAAAAAGAAAAAAGAATCGGGATGCGAGGAGGTATCAGGGGGAGGCCTTTGCCCAGCAGTGGGATTCATCCGGCTAATAGTAATTGTAACGTAAGTTTGGTGAAGACTAAAGTAAGGAGGGTGCAGCTCCAGCAAGAGCACAGCTCGTGAATTGAAGAGGATTACTCTTATACACTCTGAATAGTAAATGTACGTAGATGAAAATTTTCTTTCTGCACATATACGTATGTGATATAAAATTAAAATAAATTCTAACAATGCTGCTGTGCTTATAATAAAATCAGTAAGTCTTATACGAATTTCAAACATACTTACTGTTAATATTGTGAGCACGGCAGAATGTACGTGATATTGTTAATAAAGCTAAAAGCGCAAAAACAATATTTTCATTTGAAAACGTTACAGCTACGAGAATATTCGGCTCGTTATATAAACAGTCCAGTTTTTATACTGAACTCACAAAAATGAAACAAATAAAGGGAAATCGTGACGAGTGGCAATTCGAAACTGTACTGACAGGGTAATTAATCAGCAGGTCCCACTTAACTCCACTACTGTTCAAACCTTCTCCGTCATCAGTCAATTCATTAAGTTAACAAAGTACTGACGGTAATGACTTTCACGACGAACCGAGTACTATACTCTGAAGATTAAAGCGCGACTCTTATTCATTCAATGTCAACATTTTCACATAATCACCAACTTTGCCGACTCAAGCCCACCTTGGCAATCGAGTCAAACATTAATTTCGTAATGAAACTCAAAACGCAATTCGAGTAACTTAGCAAAACGAGTAACTTTACCAATTCTCCATAATTGAGTACGAAGGTGAAACCCCTAGTCTCGACCAATATTAACTAACATCAATAACAATCATCAATTGAGTGAAGAAGTCTAATTAAAGAAGCCGTTACAAGTTACCTCCATAAATCTGAGCAGGAAACAATACAGGCTATCCATTACGAAGGCCAATGCTTCTTCACGGAATATTCCAATGAGGAAACTTTCGAGGGGCGTCCGAAACGACAAATATAGTTTTTCAATGACGGCATGGGGTTCTTTATAATTTATTATCACGAACTTACGAGCAACTTCCGCCACATAAATCATTTTAAAGTGTAAGAATTTAATCTCGCAATGTATTTATTGATATATGCTTATTTAACCTACAGTGTTCCATAGTTTCACGCTAAAGTAAAATATATGCACATAATTATCACATTATTTGTAATTCCACTTTCTGATGAAGAGCCGAAGCAAGTACAGATGAGATAAAAAAAGGATAAAATCAACAATGTTTCCGTTACCCATTTCACAAAACAAATAATTTGTAACACCGAGGAGGCGGAATCTGATGCAATAATAATTGTGACGAAGACAAAAACCAGTGGTATCCCAACAAAGGGTTATTATTCAAAATCTGGCCTTTATTGTGTCGTATGAAACATGTTCTGGTGACAACGGCGTGTCCCGCGCCTATTTGTTTCATGTTCTACACCAAATTATGCAGATAAGCGAATGAATGGCGGAAACTTAGTCGGAGACTGATGCAAATTAACTCCGCCATCCTTCTATTCGACGCTTTTCATCCGGCAAACTTTGAAACAGATACTACCAGCACCGCTACATTATCCTAACTTGTTAATTCCAATTCATTATGAAATAAGTTCCACTGAATATTATGAATCATTTCAAATACGAAAGGAAGGTTTGCGTGGATCAGATAAAGCTGTTGACTACCAACCCAATTATGAAGAAACCCATTAAGGCCTATCCACTTCTATGCCTTATTAATTTTCCCATCGAAAATGGGGAACGGAATCTAAAAGGAAATAAGCACATCGAATTCGTAATTAAAATTATGTTCTTGAGCGAAAAGAAAATGTAGTTATTCCATTACATTTGAGGGTTCTCGATCCAAGGTCAAATAGTCTCCATCCTTAAATGGAGAAAAATATATGGTTACTAAAAAAATAGTATATAAATGTTATAAGTGAAATCGAACAATCACGAAAGCGAACAGGTCATTTTAGCGTCAAAGCTATATTACCGTAGACACTAAAATAACATTCTTGTACGAATACCTATTTTCGTAATAAAATTATGTAAACTTGACCTAACAATATTGTTAAATGCCCTTAACAAAAGTTGTCTGTACTGAAGAGAAACTGCTTGGGTCCATGGGGCCGGAACGTCACTTGACTTATGACACATCGACAGGCCAAGTTTATTCAGTGGCCCGCCTCGAAAACAGCTCAGAATGCCGTAGAGTCGTGGAATTTCACAAAGTCCATTTAACTTGGACTCGTAAATTTTTTACTAAGTCTTCAGTCCACTATAAAATTTCGAAGCGACAGACTGGAGATTCATTTAAAATTGAAGTTAAATTTTATTATAATCATTTTATTTGAAATTGTCATCTTGTGTCACTTGCATAGTAGCGTAGAGCTCCTTGTGAAAGACGCGTCCAGGGAAGTGCTGCCACCTTGTCTTATCTATATGCCGCCAAGCAGTAACGTCAGCATTACTGTGCTCCCATTTGAAGGGTAACGGTGCTGGTGAAATTACAGGCACATGGGACTTGTCAACTTAATGTCTTCGGGTGACGGGCGCAGTGGCAGTGCTCCTAAGATTTTTGCAATTTGAAGCTCTGACTGGCACTGCAACTGTTATGGATAGGCGAGTAGCTTACAATCAGTGGCGCGACTTGTTGAAGTCTCGTCGCTTGATATGGTGAAAAAAAGCTCCTTGTAAATGAGTCCTTCCGGGGAAGTACTGCCACCAAGCAGTAATGTTCACATTTGCGTTCTAGTTTTGAAGGGATAAGGGTGCTGGTGAAGTTACAGGTATATGGGACTTGTCGACTTATGTCTCAGGGTAACCGGTGCAGTGACAATACCCCTGAGACCTGTGCGATTTAAAGCTCGAAGTAGCTTTGCAACTGTTATGGATAGATGTATCCCTTACCACCAAGCGCACGACTTCTTCGTCCCATCGCTGAGTACCATAAAAAGTACCAACAGTTTCAAAATTGTAGTAATTGTTCACTAATTTGCGACAAACTTAGACTATTCCATTGTTTTGCAATGCCATCTATGCCATAGGGTAGCTGGAGGAAAATTCGGTATTTTTGTATTAAAAGAATTTAGAGAAGATTAAGAAGAAATATATATAGAAGAGAATATATACAGTTAAATATTGCAATAAAACTATTGAAAATTCCCAAAAGGCATCAATAACTTGCACAAACTGAATAAGCCAATTTGTTACATAATGTTATGCTCGGTATTGCTTTTGTCTATGATCAATATTTTCCAATAATATGGAAAATATTCCATGTTCGCAAGATTCAACATCATAAGAGACTACTCCAGGCAACGCGTTGTTCTCGCATTGTTTGCTAACGAAGCGTCGCGGCCGACTTGAGAGCTCTACACTTTAAACCATCAACTCCCTTCAGCTCCTTTGGAAAATATTGCCCCAGCTTTTTATCCTTGTTTGAATAATGGCTGTAAACGTACTCGGGTGCCATTCGAGCAAGGTGTCAGGAAAACAACTCGAGTTCAAACCACTAACGGCACTTGTTTACCGAAGACCGTCAACTTTTGGCGTCGAAAGTGTTTTCAGAACGATGAAATGTAAAGTAAGCACTAGAGTAGAATATATTGCACAGCCATCTTGTTAGTCTTTATAATTATCTCTTGTTAGTCACCTCTTGTTAGTCTTTAGTAGCAGTAGAGCTCCTTGTGAAGGAGGTCGTCCAGAGAAGAACTACCACCTTACCTATTTCTTCCGTCAAGCAGTAATGTATGCATTACTACTTTACTGCGTTACTGCGTTCCGGTTTGGAAGGGTAAGAGTGCTGGTGTTATATCCAGGAACATGGGACTTGTTCAAGTTGTGTCTAAGGGTGACGGGCACAGTGGCAGTGCCCCTAAGATCATTGCGATTAAAAGCTTTAAGTGGTACTGCAATTGTTATGGATAGACGTGTCGCTTAACACCAGTCGCACGACATGTTCGTCCGTCACTTGATTATATAAAAAAAATAATGTGTTTATTTTTCGGCTGGCAAGTTATTCTCACTTGCGAAGAAAGATAATATCACTATAATATCTTTTTGTTACTAGTGACATCACTCGAGGGTGAAATCGTGAACCTGACGAAAGTGACTCGGTCTGAGATGGGCGCGTACCTCTGCATCGCAGCCAATGGTGTGCCGCCTTCAGTCAGCAAAAGGATAATGCTGCATGTACATTGTAAGTATACCTAAACCGTTACTTTTCACTGTGTCAATAAATATTTTTTTTAAATAGGTACTTTGCACACACGCACACTATATGAATATATATCTTAGATATTCACTACAGAGTATTAAAAAACCGACCTCAAAAGTTAATGGAATGACATCTATTTGCCAAGTTTTATTGAAATCGATTACCGGAAAGTGCGCAAAACCGGATTCATCCTCTAGTTTGCCACCCTTAGAGGTGGAATATTTACTTCAAATTTAAATGGGACCACTATTGAGGTACCCTCTTTCCAACAAAAAATAAATCATCAAAACCGGTTCACAAATGAGTTGTCGCATGACATACATACAAAAACAATCATACAGTCGAATTGAGAATCTCCTCTTTTTTAGCCGGTTAAAAATGACATCAATATCATCATCATCTATCGAGTTCAGACTATATAATAAATATAATTAAATAAATATGAGACAACATCACATATGTTGCTCTGATCCCAAAGTTAGTAACTATAGCTTATATGGCAATCGGAAACAACGACGGTACCACAAATACTCAAACCCGAGATAATATAAAAAAAGCTAGTTTTTCTGCATTGATCTGGCTGAGGTTCAAACCTGGGACCTCAAAGCCAGCACTCGACCAAGGAGGTCGTCAAACTACAGTTTCGTGTGGGCCTATAATTTAAATACCATCTACCGCACATATTTATTAACCTGTTATCACATAAATAAGTTTGATTATTAGAAATGTCAAACCTAATAAACAAATTTATACAAAACTTTATGCGAGTTTCTCAAAAGAATAAGTACATAAAACTAATTTTAGAGAAGATATTCAATAAATTCTACTCCCCTAGTCGTAAAAGCTGAAAGTTGAGAAATATGATTACGAATTCACAACATGAATCAATTCAGCCGTCGATAAAATCTACTCACCTGTGTAAAGCACGAGCAAAAAGCGGTACCACGAGAACTCACTTATCGGCCGATCTCGAGACTAATTTATAACCAGGAGTTATTCAATGCTTGGTAGGCTGTAGTACCGGTGAGTCGGCTTGGCTCAAACACGTAAGCAATTGGGAGATTTTCGTGTTATCACGTATCATCTTTGGCGCGTGCCTTGCATCCAAATTCGACATCCGCCCTCTGAAGTCAGCAAGTCGTGTTTAGTTAAAGTTAGTGGCTTGACTGTATTATTTGTGGTATTATATAGGTATAGAATTGTTGCAAATGTTAATCTTATGGAATAATAGGAACTTTACAAAAAGAACAAAATACTTTGCTGCACAAGGTTTGAACGTCTGACAAAGACTTGTAAATACCATTGGTATAGAGCAAGCCATCTGAGCAACCATTTTTTATTTGAAAACATTGACCGTCGCCTTGCATACGAATGAGTTCTGTGAATTGAACTTTGGCCTTACATTTTACATCAATAGCCATACCACTCAGACAAATTAACATGTCTATCTACCAACGCAATCGACAGGGCGAACTCACATAGGCAAATCAATGCAGAATGGGGACAGACACAGTTGCACCCACTGATTTCCATTTACATCGAAAGGGTTATACCGCTGGGGATGGACGTCGTAACACCTTATGAATTCCAAAATGTGATCGCCGTAGTAACAATGTAATAAATTCAACTTCTCTACGTCCGGGCATAATGTACCCAGAATAATAATAACCTTGCAGCTAATTGATATGAGTCTGCCCAGAAATGCGACCAAATGAAAAATATTATAGTCATGACGTCCGAATTTAATTACAATTTAGTTACCTTAAGTCAAAGATTCATTCATCACAATTATTTTTCCATAAATACTTTTCGCAGACATGCCGATCAATCACGGATTTCATACATGTGCAATTTTAATCTATCAGTCCGTTTTACTCTTGTTAATTAACCGTTCTAAATTCGAGGATTGGTTGTACAGTGACGTCGAGATAGCTGAATATGTACGAGTGTAAAAGTTTTCCGAAGCGTTAGCCGGTGGCTGGGCGCGAACATGTTGTCCGGTGGATATTTGCATTCTGTTATTGGCAGTTCCGATGTAAACACTCGTCTGATTGTACACTTTATATGCACGTACCCAATAAACTATTGATGTTTAAATTCGAATGAAAACATCACAACAGAAAGTTCTCCAAATGAGCCGCAATATCGTATGTTCTCTTCGTAAATACTTATATATTACTTCAAAGCTCCAACCAACTTCTACTTTAAAAGGAAATAGGCGCTTCAGTGATAATCTTAACGGCAACCGAGGAAATTCTCTTCATAGAAAACGCAATTTCAGGCGAACAAACAAACTACTGCCGCCTGGAACCCTTCCACTCAGTTTAATTACTTCACAAAGAATGCGTCGCGTTCGCTCGATGAGGAGACAAAATTAACGCTCTCAAATATTTAATTTAAATTTCCTTCCCCGAAAACGAATGATAACAGCGGGTCGTGCGGACTTGCGGCTGCGGTGAGTGAACGCAAAAAGAGCTTCGCAACGCCAGCAGTGGAGCAGTTCATTTGTAACAGTAAGTGCTTCGTAACGCGATGAGTTTTTAGTTGATTCACTGAAGCCGGCAGACGGCAAATTGAATTTAGAGAAAAAGAAACATGCTCAACGAAGCGACCAAATCTCAATCAATTTGCAAGATTCCAGCGCTTTACCTTCTAAATAAGTTAAATTATGTTTCTTTTACAAAGTGCTAAATCGTGATCCGATTTCATGGCGAAACAATATTGCACTTAACAAGAATAACAATTATATTTTGTTCTTAGACGAATACTGCTTTGAACCCTATAAAATTCCAACGACAACTAGAGCAGGTAATAGCAACAAAACGCCAAGAAATTCGAAAACGGGGGAGCGTGTGCGCCGCTCGGTTAATCAAACTGTCACTTCAAGAATTCCGTGAGGAATCCTTCCTGAGAAAACTTCTTGTAACTTTTGATTGCCGCCGAGAGTTCCCACCTACTTATATACTTAGAGATTGCTTAATCGCTGCATAAGTCGTGTTTAGATCTTTTATAAATTAATGCGGTGGTGCAGTTAAAAGTATTTGATCATAAAATAAATTACATCAATGGCTCATCGAGCCGTTATATTTAATAAGCAAAAGTCTGCCCTCTTTGCTTTCGGAGTTATTAATTAGAACAAAAATTCCGATCGTTCCGATTTCGTTCGCTAAATTGGCCACTTAAACTCGTAAAAGCCGTCTAGAGGAACTTAACGACGGTCAAAGAGCATAACCGCAAATAAGCCTCGAACTAAGGCCGAGGAAGAAAATTCCGTTTTCCTTAATTCACCCTAAACAGGCTTTGGGGAGTGTTGGTGTGATTGTTTACATTTGTGAAATAATCCGCCCTTTTTTGAAGCCTTCTGCCTCTTGTTTCTTCAGACAAGACGTTTTTGGAACGCCGCACTTTGAACTCGTTCACTTTGAAGTGAATATTTACACAACTAAGGTTTGAAGAATCCATTTAATTAAAATTATTTTCTTTTGAGCTGCATGTTTGGTACATATAATGTTATTTATTTTAGTTACTATAAATTACGGCATAAGTATAAAATACATTGTACGTGAAGGTATAATAGCAACAGGACATTCTAAATCTAATTCGTTTAATTTTCAAAGTTGGATTTTTAGTTAAAAGTTTCAACAAACTTGCGGTCAACCTGTACAACTTACCTGTTGACAATTGACCACAACCAAAGTTTAATTGCGAACAAGCTAGCTCAGTAAATAGGTTAACACTAACAAAAGTAGCTAGGGAGTGCGGGATAATATTCAGAGTAAACAAGTGACAGTCGCAGTAGTGCGGTGAAGTGGAGCGAAGTTGGTGCGAGCAAACACTCCGCCAACGTGAGTCTAGCACTTGGTGTACTTTTTACCTAATATTTATTTTCCGCTACACTTGCGAAAGTGACTATGCGAATAGCCATTGCAATTTTATAATATAAAATCAAAATAAACAAAATATATATTTATTAGCGATTCACACGTTTCATAAAAATACCAAAAACACAGCTGAAATTTCACGTGTAATTAGTATATTACTCATATATTACACAAAATGTACTTGTATCTAATTCACAGCTCTAGAATATACTGCAATATGACCAACTGAGATAAGTAGACAAACACATTGAACAATCTCATAAGAGTCCTTGTCTGAATATGGAACCCTAATAAAAGAGAGTTTAACAATAATACTAGGAGTGTTTGCAGAGTAGAGGAGGTCCCAGGTACGATTCCCAGCACGATCTAGCTACGAATCAAATTTTTTAAATTAATTCTGGTCTAAGTGTTCTGGGTGATGTCCGTTGCTTTGGTATATACAGCATAGGGAATTCTCTAGTTTGAGACAGGCTAATTCGTGTGGTTGTCTGGCACATTATTATTATTAATATCGTCGACCTTATCGTCACTTTCCATCTGATAAGATGAAGGTTAAACGCACAGTAATTTTATACGTAAAAAAAATGTTGCCCTTTATACCAAAACTCCCTAGAAAAATTTTAAATCGTGATATTTACCAAATTTCAAATGCTCCTCGATCTGTTCTTCTTATTTTAACGACTCTGGTCAAATAAATAAAAATGTTCTTAACATACCACGAGACAGCACTTGAAGTGTTGAAACCCACATATTAACATAATCTCTGTTAACGAAAACAACATTGCCAGAATTATTCTTGGCATAAAATCCAATGCATTGGAATCGGATGACATTAGAGCGGATATGACACTGTTAACTCATATTCTAATGTAGTTACTGACATTGTTTATTCGTCGTTGGTTATTTCGACATTCCCCTTACTTCCGAAAACGGCAATAATAAATCCTACCCCAAAGCACAAAACTACCGTGTCTAACCAAAACACTGTATCAAAACAGCATTTTGAGAAAAAGCTGCAAAAAGGTTTCTCCGGTTTTATTGTAATTTTTTAAGTTAATAGCATAAAACGATGCATTTAACTTACTTTGTGGATTAAATATT